CAATCACCTTCATTGAACACTCGTTCCTTTAGTGTCTAGTGTATTGCCCTTGCCCCGCACCTCCGATGAGCACGGTTGGCTACGTACGGCGCGAAAGAAGTTCAACATAAACACATTCCTCCTGCGGAGGGAGCTGGTAGGAACGTTGGGTTGCTCGGTCAATGGCCAGGGTCAATGGCGGCGTGGTGTATTCCGCCAATATGGACGACTGTGAGGGCGGGCACAAGCCGGCGTGAGTAGGTTAAACGTTGAGTTTTATAAGGGCACCACAGGGTGACCAGCCCCTCCTCACCCAGCCCCACCCTCCCCACCCAGCCCCTCCCCACCCTCCCCACCCAGCCCCTCCCCACCCAGCCCCACCCTCCCCACCCAGCCCCTCCCCACCCTCCCCTCCCCACCCAGCCCCTCCCTCCCCACCCAGCCCCTCCCTGCACGACGGACACAATAATCCCCTGTGGGCTGGTGTAACCAGGAGGTTCCTATCAGTAAAACACACACTGGCGACCTTCATTCAGCAGTGTATAGGCAATTGCTGTTTGATGATGGTGATGATGATACGGATGGGATCACCGTTAAGTGTAGAATTGTAGCCATTGTTTGCAGAACAGATCAATGACGAGCAATGTGGAGCACACAATGAAAAAGATCCCCCGTACAGCCTTCACAGACTGCTGTGAAGGACGGCACGGTACACGAGGTGGGTGGTCAGCACCACGTCCGGCCGCCTTTGTCTCCTCAGTGTTGATGTTTACATATTGCACCAGATACTAATTTGAGGCTGAGACAACCTAGGGGAGGCCTAAGACCGGTTCAGATCATCGCAACTGGTGTTGGCCGTGAGCGGGAATCGGACTCGGGTGACTTGGTTCGTAGCGCAGCGTAGCACTAACCGCTACACTGCCGCTCCCCAACGTACACACACACTTACGTGTACTGTTTGGTCGTAGCTTCACGGTTATTGCGATCATAGTCATCATCATCGCACAGAGGTCAATCGAAATCAATCAGTTCCTGTGATTAGATAGCATTATGGGTAAATATATCTCTGTGTTGTCGTGTCCTCGTAAGCACACTCATCTAAAGCAGCTCACGCCTCCCGTGACGTCTGTGTCGCCACCCCCACTCGGAGCCCCTCCCCTTCCCCCGCCCACTGTGAAAACAGACGCCGCTCCTCCATGCAGCAGAAGCAGCAGCGCTGAGGCCTTGACGCAGCCTCTTCCTCCCGATCCTTCTCATATTTTACATTTCATTTTTCTCCATTCATTCCACAGTGGTGAGATGTTGACTTCCTCGCCTGGTATATACGACGTTGTGGGGTTTGTTCCCGACCTTGACCCCTGTATATTTGGAGTTTGCATGTTCTCCCTGTGGCCGTGTGGGTTTTTATCCGATTCCTCTGGGTTTTCCCTCTACATTAGAGACACGTGTTTAAAGTATTTGGCTCCTGTTATACATTCCCATGTGATAAGCTACTTCGTTGAGCTATCATTTGTAGTAGCCAGGTCGCTTCTGAAAGAAAGCTAAATAGCTCAGTGGACCTTACCTGGTACAATAAAAAATTGTTTATTTCTAGATTCTACTCCCCTGCCCCTGGATGCGAGCAATCGTCACGTTGGGTTTTATTAACCGTGGCCGTCTTTCATGCAAATTGCACCGCTCACAGTTTGTTGAGGAAGCACAGAGACAATGCTGGGATCCAGCACTCCGGCGGTCAGCCGGCACCACCAACAGTTGCCCGAGCTCCGCAGTCCTCTACATGTTAAGATGTTTTCAGACAATAAATGAGTGTTTACGCACGCGCGCGTGCGAGAATATCGGAGCACTTGGAGAAACCCCCCCCCCCCCCCCATACGTGTGAGGGGGAAACACTTTATCCCACACAGAAGGGACAGGTGACACGGAGTCGCCAGCACTTTGCTGCACCGCCTTCTCGTGTCGAGCCAGGGTACAGCACCTCCTCTGTCACCTCGACTCCCACGGTGAAGGGAGTCTCGCAACATGTGTGTGTGCGGTGATCCAGCAACCCCCTCGCTGCTGTCTCCACATCTCTGGACTTCAGGCAGCAGTCACGTGTCCAGTAGCGTGGCCACTACCGCCACCACCCGGCTAATCTTGGGTGTCTGAAACTTGGATTTGAACTGAGAGTCTCAGTGATCACGTGTGCCTTGTAGCCTCGTGAGCTGCCCAGCTGCCTAAAATTGATCACCTGTTTTTCCCAAGACAAAACATCGATTACTCCAACGGTTTGTTGCCTGGGCCATGCCACGTGACCAGAAGGGCCATTCACTTGAGAGAAAGCAGTTGCTGCCTCCGCAGTGCTGTTTTACAGGCAACATTCGCGTGCGGTGTAGCCACCAGCACCACCACCAGCACTCGGATAAGCTGTGTGAGTTACATTGAACGTGGTACCCCAAACGTGAACACCTGTACGGTATAGCAGACCCGTCACGGCCATATCTCAGCGCGAGAAGAGCGCAACATTTATATTTAATTGACAGTGTCGCCACGTTTGACGCGATTCAAAGGTCGGGTCGGTCTACTGAGACTCGCTAAAAAAGGATCAACATTGAGCGTTGAGTTGGGTCCCCTTGAATCGAGGAGGGGACCGTTCCGACCAAGTCGCCGTAAAGGCACGAGCACAAATCTCGCCGCCTTTGGAACGCGAAGCCAGACAATCGTCGTCAGGGCTGGGTGCTGCTGCTGCTGCTACACGGCAACAAACTGCATGGCCCACCGCGAAGCTTCTTCGCGTCTCAGCCAGACGCTCATGTAAAACCGAGGCCGTAATTATAATAAATATGGGGGGGGGCGGACATCCCCCCAATGTTGACTCCATGGCTACGGCCTTGATGTAAACCCTTCTGTCTACTGACCACTTCCATATCACGAGAACCGATTTTGACGCAAACCACCACCACCCCGCACGAATTTCTCACCGGGGTTTGCGATTCGCGGGGGGGGGGGGGATCAATATGTTCATATTTCCTAATACACACTATGCAGTGGATATGTCTGTATTTACAAATATACGCACGCATCCATGCAATACTATTAATAGTGTAAACACACCCATGCGACTACATATCCACCAGCACTGTACACAGAATCCCCTCGGCGTGATGATCTATATATACAGGCTGTTGGCGCAAGTGCTGTTAGCGAGCACCTATTAAGGGGCCGTCCATAAATGACGTCACGCGATTTTGTATGCTTTTTGACCCCCCCCCCTTCGTCACACGACGTCACAAAAAGTCAGACCCCCCTCAAATATGACGTCACAAAGCTTTGCCCCCCCCCCCCAAAAAAATAAAACATGCTTCAAATCGCTTTAAACTGTTGTCGTTGTAGTGCGTATTTAATGTGGCGCTGCACTCTGATGTTGTATGATAAAACATGAATTAAAAAGTCTATTTAATTAAGTAGAATATGTTGTCTATGTTTATTTAAAGTTGCGAATTTTGATGTGACGTCACATTTCTCACCCCCCCCCCCCAGGTGCGTGACGTCATTTATGGACGGCCCCTAAGGCCGGAACGGCGCACGGACGGAGTGCTGTGGCCAGAAACACAGCCGGCCGTCTTTGTATCTCTCTTCTCAGTGCCGCTGTCCTCACGTAGTCACAGGGAAGTCGGCCTCAGGCGGAGGCTGGGAACAGGTCTGATATCATCTTCCCTGCGTCTTTCGGTAAAGTCACGTGGATAGTTCTAGATTTGAAGTTTTCGTGACTGCAAGGATTCATACTCTTTGTTTTTTTCGGTAAAGTCACGTAGGATAAATAAATAAATGAAAAACAACTAAATTAAATCACGACGTTTCGGAGGCAGATAGGTTCAAATTAATAAAAATAAAATAAACAAAAAACAACGACGTTTCGATCGCAACACATGCGATCGTCATCTATCTGCGTGACTATGAACTCCTGCAGTCACGCGAGCTTCAAGTGAAGGTTTAATATTCCGCGTGTCACCGGCGCTCCGCCGTGGTTGGCTATCGGACTCGGAACCACCCGGTGTGGAGTGCCACTTGAACAAACCAGTGTACATCTACCGCCCCCTCCCCACTTATATTTGTAGAGAAGAAAAAAACACCTTTGTGACAAGGACAAAGATCGCCCCTTTTAGCCTTTTAACAGACTGTTGGGGCAAGTGCTGTGAGCGAGCAGCCCCCATGAAGGCCGGCACGGCTCATTTAGGGCGGCATTTGCCTCCCCAATGCTGATGTCCAACACGCCGCGCCAGATATACTGTGCTCACTTAAGGCTGAGTCGACCTAGGACTGGTTCAGATATGCGTCACTGACGCTGTTGGCCGTGAGCGGGAATCGAACTCTGGGGTCGCCGGGATTCGTAGCGCACGGCACGGCACAGCACGGCACGGCACGCATGGTACGGCACGGTACACACGGCACGGTACGGCACGGTACACACGGCACAGCACGGCACGGTACGCACGGTACGCACGGTACACACGGCACGGCACGGTACGCACGGCACGGTACACACGGCACAGCACGGCACGGCACGCACGGTACGCACGGTACACACGGCACGGCACGGTACGCACGGTACGCACGGTACGCACGGTACACACGGCACGGCACGGTACGCACGGTACGCACGGTACGCACGGTACACACGGCACGGCACGGTACGGCACGGTACGCACGGTACGCACGGCACGGTACGCACGGCACGCACGGTACGCACGCACGGTACACACGGCACGGTATGGTACGGCACGGTATGCACGGCACGGCACGCACGCACACGGGCCACGTGCGCGATCACCAGTGGATATACACTCCCCAAAGACAAAGACCCCCCGTATAGCCTGTCCCAGACTGTTGGGGCAAGTGCTGTTAGCGAGTAGCGCCCTATGAAGGTCGTCACGGCACACGAGGCGGTGAGTGGTCAGCACCACGCCCGGCCGCCTTTGTCTCCCCCGCGTAACGCACGCCACGCTGGGAGGGGGGGGGGCACGCTGCGTGTGCGGAACGCTCACGGTCTCCGGATCCGCGCTGACAGGCGCGAGCTCCATGACCCCCACCAGCACCACAGCGCGCGCGGCAGAGGCGAGAGCGCTCCGGGGCATCCGCCGCTCGCTGCTTCCAGCACTCCGTCCGCCCTCGCGGTCTCCTCTCTGCAGCCCCAGCGAGAGGCAGGCGACAGAGGCAACCTTCCACTTCACTTACTCACTCCGACCGACTCACTCCTCCCCGACATGCAGGCGAAACTCGTGCAACACGTGGTCAGTGTACAGAGACCACTCCCCTGTCATACACACGCGCACACACCTATGGCACATGTGTAAGTGGCAACGGGCTCACTCACCGAATCCCAGGGCAAGCTCGTGGAACACCGCGCTCCATGCAGGTGACACAAACAAACACCCCCCCCCGGCTCCCCCGGTATCGTTCACAGGCTGTTTGTCGTTGGTTCGCGCGCTGCTGCGCTACGAATTTGGCGACCCGAGTTCGATTTTCCGCTCACGACCAATAACAGCGGCGACAAGTTGAGCCGGTCCTGGGTCTCCCCCCCCCACCCCATAAGGTCTACTCAGCCTTAAAATAAGGACCTGATGCAGTGGGGTAAACATCAACATGTGGAGAGACAAAGGCGGTCCGGCGTGGTGTAGTTGCGCTTTCCCGGCCTTCATAATAGATGGTCGCGAACAGCACTTGCCTCGACAGCCTGTTACATGTCATCGGGGGATCTTTGTCTTTGCATCACATTCACACACACACGCGTGTGTGTCACATTCACACACACGCGTGTGTGTTACATTCACATACATACGCGTGCGTGTCACATTCACACACACGCGTGTGTCACATTCACAGACACACACGCGTGTTTATATCACTCGCAGACACACACGCGTGTGTGTCACACACACAGCCGCGTGTATGTCACAGACACACGCGTGTCACATTCACAGACGCAGACGCGTCCGAATAGCTGGCACAGCACACGAGATGGGGTCGGTGGCTAGCAACACGCCCGGCCGCCTTTGTCTCCCTAGTGGCGATGTTTACACACTGCACCAGGTACTAATTTGGTGCTGAGTCGACCTAGGGGAGGCCCAGAACTGGTTTAGATATTCGTTGCTGAGATAGACACACGCAATGCCCTCCACCACTGCCGCCACCACCGCCACCACCAACATCACCGCCACCACCGCTGCCGCCGCCACCATCACTGCCACCGCCACCACCACCGCCACCACGACCATCGCTAACACCAACCACCACCACCGCCACTACCATCACCACCACCACCATCACTGCCACCACCACTGCCGCAGCCATCACCACCACAGCCACCGCCACCACCACCGCCACCATCACCGCCACCACCACCACTGCTGTCGCCGCCATCACCACCAAAGCCACCACCACCACGACCGCTAACACCACCATCACTCACCGCTGCCACTGCCATCACCACCACAGCCACCACCACAGCCATCACTGCCACCACCACCACCGCTAACACCACCATCACTCACCGCTGCCACTGCCACCGCTCTGATTTCCGTTTTCCCCTTGAACCCATCATTACAACCCGCACAACTGAAATCTGTTTCCCTGGATATCTTGACAGACCATCACTGGGCTGTCTTCATCCTAAAGGTCCTCTCAAACAAATTCTCCAATCGCCTATAGGACCCCTCAGTTCCACTAACTCTCTCTCATATCATCAGCAGTGCCTCCGTATTCCTAATGCAACATTCGATTTGCAAAAAACTTCGATAAAAATATATTTTCGCGTTGCTGCTCCACGTTTTTGGAATCCCCTTGGCCGCTTCACCTACAGCAGCCCCCCCCCCCTTCACTCCCCCTCTTTACGTCCTAATGAGACCAAAACACATACGGAGAGCTTCCTTGCGCCTGCAACTGCGTTATTCTTCTGGCGCCTCTTGCTCCCACGTGTTTGCGCCGTCTTACTCGATCCACGTGTGTTGATGTTACTCTTACTGGAAACTCTTCCTCTCGTGTTGTATTAAACAGTTTTTTTTATTTGCGTGTGTTTCGTTTACTACCGTCAAAAACCTCGTTTGTGAGTTGTGATATATCTCTTAAGAAGCCAGCACTCGTTCTCTGCAATGTCGATGTGTCTGTTGCTGCTGCTGTGCTCAGTCATCATGGATCTCCCGTGTAAAATAGCCGGACAACGAAATAAACTCAAGCTCACCACCGCCACCACTACCGCCACCACTACCAGCGCTACCACCGCTATCACTGCCACCACAACCACCGCCACCACCAGCATGGCCACCACCGCCACCACTACCGCTCCACGTAATGGAAAATGGATCTGATTACGCGCGTGGGACCAGGAGGCGCTCTCCTCCTGCTGCTGCTCCTCCTCCTGCTCCCCCTGCTGCTCCCCGCCTCTCGTGGCGTTAAAACCCTGCGCTCCCACTGTACCGGATTAATAAATCAATGACAAAACTCATCACACCCGTCAATGACGACGTGGCCTCAAACAAAACAAAAAACCCATATGCATCATAAACGACGTTCCGGGCAATGCCCTTCTCGTGCTATGAAGGATTGTTGAATTTGTTGTGTTGGTGGCTTTGGTATCCGTGCGTGTGCACCACCTGTGTTTTTATTAAACGTGCCCGTTCTTTTTAGTTGAATATTGTTGAGCCGGGGTAAGGACTCAAGAGACCAGGGGTGAGTCTAGTTCCCTGGAGTGACCTGGGCCATTGAACTGCTGCCAGTAGGGAGGTGGTCATTGCTGCCGCTGCTGCTACTTATGCTGCTGTGTGTGTGATGGAAATTTAGTGATTTGCAGTGATACAGTATTCAATTTGGCAAATTTGGAACTGGCAATAATTAGTCAATTTGTTGGCATAAAAATAGCCTAACTTTTGCTGATGACGTCAGGGGATCTTTAACGTCCGCTATGAAGTAGATGGCGCGTAGTAATGCTATTATTGTTGCTATGGTATTACACAGCCGCAACAATAATAATAATCAGGTCGGCCACTGGCTTCGAACCGTGACACCTTCGCAACAAGCGACGAACGCGATACCACCCCATCTGCTTCACTGACATGACCGTGTGCCGCCATCATCAGGTAGTGCCACTCGCTCATTTCCAAAACACCTCTCTCACGGAGAGGAGAGGAGTGCAGGAAAAGGGTGGGACGTAGAACTTCTTTCGCACCGCACGTAGCCAACCGTGCGAATCGGAGGTGCGGGGGATGGACAAAAAACTAAACACAACAAATAGTTCTACAGAAATTCGTTTTCAGTCTAGGTGATTTACAAAGTGCATAGCTCCAGCGGCTTCTTAATATCGGAAGGAAGAGCGTTCCAGACGGCCGCGGAAGCGCATCTGAAAGCGCACGATGCAGTGACCACCATCTTTGTTCGATGGTTAGCTAAACACCACTGCTTGGAGGATGACCGGAGTTCGCATGACGGTTTATCCTCATTGACGAGATAAGCGAGGTATTGTGGTTCATTTGTGGGAAGCACTTTATGTGTAATGAGTGCAACCTTATAACAATGCATTTCTTCGGTAACCGGAAGCAAATGCAGCTAGGCGAGCACTGGACTGACACGGTCGGATCTTGCAGTCACAACACGTGGCAGCTTGGTAATGTTTTTAGCAAGACGTCTAGTATGTTATAGATGTCCAGAGCTTCAGAGGAACTCCCCCTCTGTGTGTGTGGGGTTCATATGTGGTGTGTCAATGACAGACTGGGACAAACAATCGGCCCGGGAATGTGTAACACACCGTGCCCAAATTCGGGCTATGGACGATTGTTTTGTTTCACGGGTTATTATTGCGATCATAAATCGTTTAGTGGTAGTAGAACTAGTAGCTAGATGATAGTAGTAGTGTAGTGACTTTCGGACAACTTGAACTGTAGAGGTTTATTTATTTATTATTTAACTTGGTCAGGGATGACACGCTGATAACTTGAACAGGGATAACGCACTGATAACTTGGGCCAGCATGGCACGCAAGCAGGGACGATGCGAAGACATCGACGGCCCGAAGACAGCGACGGCGTGAAGACAGCGATAGCGTAAAGAAGTCGACCCCGATCCCACGGCAGCCTCGAACCTTGCCTCTCACCTCCTTTTATTCCCGGCGTGGCCCTCACTCTGTCCCCAGCCACGCCCCCTTTCTCAAACTCTCTAGCCCAATCCCGAACTTCCCAGATGGTTCTGGTGGAAGCATATTATATATTTTTTACGACATAGAATTGTAATGTATTACTTACTGTTAGTAACTCAGCTTATTGTAGCGTATATTTAGTATACTGATGATACTATGTAGTTTATACTTTAGTTGTTTATGTGGTGGCTTTAGTTACTGCAGCTACATACTATTAACACTCATTTCCTTTATAAATGCTACCCCTATCCCCTCCCTTTGATGTTGCTAATCCTGCATAATGCACGGGCATAAGTAGTACTAATCACATACCTGCATTTCCCATATCCCTTCCCTTTGATGCTGCTAATCCTGCATAATGCACAGGCATGAGAAGTACTAATCACATACCTGCATTTCCCATAAATATGCTAAATGCCTCTTGATATGCATATTCTTTTGTCAAGGTGCCCTTGTCCCCCCTTCCAACCCAGCTTATATATATGTGCTCCAAGCACGTGTGCTGTTTCATTCAGACGCTGTCGCCTCGACAGACCTGGTTTTCACCTGAGGACGGCTGCTTGCGTTGTGGCCGAAACGTAGTGAGAATTGTTTTATTATGTTTTATTTTTATTATTTTATTACTTCCCTTCTACGTGACTTTACCGAAAGAACCAAGAAGATGAATCCCTGCAGTCACGAAAGCTTTAAATCGAAAAATAAACTGTGTATTAGTAGTAATAGTAGCTAGATGATAAACAGTATAGTAGTACTAGTAGCTAGATGATAAACTGTGTAGTAGTACTAGTAGCTAGATGATACACTATGTAGTATAGGTGCTAGATGGTAAACTGTGTAGTAGTAGTACTAGTATTAAGATAATAAAGTGTGTAGCAGTAGTAGCACTAGCATTGAGGTGATAAACTGTGTAGGAGTAGTACTAGTAGCTAAATGATAAACTGTGTAGTAGTAGTGTAAGGACAGTACAGGATTATGAAGAGACAATACAGCTCCCCGTGACCATGGTTACTAATTAACATAACAGGAACAGACACGGTCACTTTAGGGTAATGTGGGATCTAAGTGGTTGCTTGACAGGAAGCACAGGACCTAACGGTCGTAAATTGTAATAAGGGCAGAGACAGACAGAGCCAGGCGCGGTGAGAGAGGATTTGGGAATAAGGGTGTGGCCGGGTCGTGAGGGGCATAAGAGCTGGCGCAAATCGG